TGCACACGAACGCACTCATGCATACACCCACGCACACACACACACACACACACACACACACACACACACACACACACACACTAACACATTCACACACACACACACACCTCAAACACGCATACACTTAAATAGACACACATGCGCAATGCATATACACACACGCATAGCCTAAACACGCGTGCACATACATAAACACACACATACAGAAACATACACACATAGCCTAAACATGCATTCATAAACACACAAGCTACACGCATACACTCGCGCGCCCATGTATTCACACAGATTCAACCACGTGCGCACAAACGGAAGCATTTTAAATTCACTCACACACGTGGCATCACGGATATTTGTCGAGCGCTATCATTATCATCATCATCATCATTATTATTCTTATTCTTCTTATTGTTGTTGTTATTATACGTGCACGCACATATGAACAGAGATAAATTGCAAGCACGCTCACCTTCACACGCGTGGGATTTTGTTCACAAGCACCACACAGCACACTGCACACACCCCATGAACACAACACATCTTCACACGCAAGAACTAGCACGCCAGCACACTTCTGCTCTTTACCTCGAGCCGTTGAGCTAGTCTCGCCTATACATTTTTTTCGAGAGTTGGCCTACATCTTTCCTCACCTGAATACGCCAACGATCGTCAAATGCCTACGCCTACAAGTTGCATTATTTTGTTATTTGATCATCCGGGTATTTTACATGGTATATCCGTCCATCAAAGTACTTTGAAAAAATTATAAAATTTTAAACTAGATCTAGTTTTCGAAAACAACAAAAAAATTATGATGAGCCCCTTCAAGATCATGTTACCACAAGCAGAGGATTTGAGGAGGAGCTATAGATCTATATATGAGTATAAAAAAAAGGCGGTAAATATTTTCCGGTTCTTTTTTTTTTTCAAAGTAAGGTACGCTGCATTGGAAAGTTGCCCTCGTTTCCAGCGTACAGCTGCACTGCGTCTGGATCAAACACTCTGGTCTGGATGCAGACCTGTTTACCCGGGGTTCGTACAAAGGTCAGCCACGTTAATCTAACAGGGTAGGTGAAACCGTTGAAGGGTGAAAAATAGGGGGCGGTTGGGAGGGGGAGTGGGGGGGGGGGGGGAGATATGGGACATTGGTGTAGGCGGAAGTGACTGCCCCAGGACAGGGGTTGTGTAAGCGCGGGTTCAGCAAAATACCGTTTTGTGTCACGACACGGTGGAATCAGGCGCTCGTCATTTTTGGGGCATTTATTATGTAGTTATTGATATCCTCTTTGGGCTTATTTATTTGCCTTGCTTTTGTTGAAAATAAAATAGCCGCTAACACTGAATAGATCTAGAGGTCGAAAATGTATTTGTTATTGAGGGAGATGAGGGTTGCCAGGTGTCAGTGGTAACGTCAAAGTCTGACGACTTTCGAAACTCGTGTGTCTTTAAAAATTGTGAATTTACATTAAATATTACATTAAATGTGACTTTCATTAACGTTCCCCCAGTAAAACACACCAAAATGTGCTCTTAAACTAACACAAAGAGTGGTCAGGTGACAAAAAGTGCGATAAAAACGGGTTTCTTCCATTTCATTATTTTGACGAATGCCTGCTCTTACCACGATGTCACACATTCACTCTCTGGAGTTACAGCAGGCGGTTGTTGTTTGTTTGTTTGTTGCCGTTTTTTGTTTTTTGTTGTTGTTGTTATTGTTGTTTTGTTTTGTTTTTTTGTTTGGTGTTTTTTTTTTTTTGGGGGGGGGGGGGAGGACTGAACTACAATGCGGCTTACAATAAACGAAGGGTAAAACCAAACTGTTATACCTAAAGAAGATAGACAATATTTTTTTCTTTTAAATGAAAGTGGGTTTTTTTTTAAGGCCATCACCGATTCAAATAGCTCCATTTAGAAGGCGGGCCTCCTACTCCTACCTTAGGCTGCCTGTCAGGGCCAAGCAAGGCGCACTGAGACACGGAGAGAGAGAGAGATGTTTTTTTTAGCTTTGGCTTTTGAAATAAGCGGAGCAGGTCGAACAGCGAACTCCGAGCTCCTAGAATTAAACACTCCGAAGTGTGCACTCATGACGCTGTGGTGTCCGGTTGTTGTTTTTTTTCATTTCGAAACAGCTTTGACTACCTCTCAGTATAATTATTAACACAGATTTTTGATCACCACTTAGTAAATTGTAACAACTTTATATATGTGAGGCAGCGTGTTAAGGGCTTTGTAACGTTACATCATCGTCTTTATAACCTGTTTTAAAAACCACCATATGAGAGAAATTATTTTTACTTGGACTTGCAAGCTCTAGTACATGTATTTAGGAAACCGTTGACAGATTCAACCAAAAGAAGAAACGTCCTTTGTACGAAAAAGGAAAAAGAGAACCGTAGCAGATGTCTGTGGTTTCTTGACGTTAGGTTCAAGCTGTACCAAGTAAAAGAAAGTCGATTTAGTTTGAACTGACCTTTCCTCACACTGGTGACAATTTGTGCTGAAATCTGACACTGACTCGCAGTATGCATTCATCAAGAGATTTGTTATGTCATTAATGTCATTACATAGGTCTCTGTCTATGCTCAGGCCATGAATGTCGAGAAGGGTAGGCTGTCTCAGAAATAATCTAAGAAAAAAGCTAAGAAACACCGTTAGCTATGTTAGTAAGTATAATACATGTATGGGCACGCACACACGCGCGCGCGCGCGCGCGCGCACACACACACACACACACGCACGCACACACACACACACACACACGCACACACACGCACACACACGCAC